TATATTTAATATTTCATAAATCTTGTCCAAAAAGAACATGATTCCATTGAGCTGGGTACTTAAATATAGCATTGTTAAAACTACAATAAAAACAAAACCACCTCGTGTGGAATCAAACAACATGAATCATTCATCAGAGGCCTCCTTTCATTCTCTCGGTCTAATAAGTGAACCTGGTGGGCCGAAGCTTTGTCTTCAAGCTGCAGCTGAGTTAAGCAGTCCGGTGATGGGCCTGGACACACAGAATACTCTGGATTTGCTAAAGAAGCACTACGCTTCAAGAACTAATGACCCATACGGAGTAATCACCTCAACAAACACCTCATCAGCAGAGAGAGAGAGAGAACAGAGTTGAGCCGTGCACCTGAAGCACAGATCTGCATGACAGTGCGGATATAAACACTGGAAGGCGCAAATACAACAAGAACACAATAAAATACACAAGCACTGACACATGTTTGTGTGCTTGCACTCAGACGCACCCTCCAGTGCTCATTTGCAACAGTTAGTCCAAACTAAGCGGCGTCGCTGCATGTTTTGGGAAGGCGGATTCTTATGCCAGCTTATTCTCCATTTTTAGCTTCTTAAAACCACACGGGAGAGTTCCCATCATGGCTCTTAAGCAGATTTACTTTCATAAAAAGCAGCTCAGAGGAGGAGCCTGTAACTGAGAATGTGCTTGACTTCACACGCGTATTGTGACATATCATCTTTGTATTTGTATTGTGGAGCTGAATGTACAGTGAGTCACATAGGTGTGCTTGCATAACACAGTAAGTTCTTTAATTACAAGAATTAACTTTTATTATTGTGTCTTTCTGTTTTCATATGTGGGAATCATGTTCATGCCCAGCAAATCAAAGTGAGTGATTCTGCAAAACTGAACAAATCTTGTGCTCCTCAAATATGTGACTCACACCAAATTGTGGGTTAATGCAGACTTTTTGTTTTTATAAACAAATCAATGAAAATCTACTGGCTTTTGTTTTATTTGCATTTGTTTTTTTTTTTCTTTTTCATGCACGTGGATGTCTTTTATTGGCCCGAAATCTCCTTTCTGTTTTAACAAATATGCATATTTTAATAAAATAAAGATATATGGAAAAAAATTCATACAATTTCCTTCCTTCGACTTGAAAACGTAAGTTCAGTTGCTGCCTTTATTTATTTGTTTGTTTTTACACATACAGTATAATCAAATTGGATGTACAAGTGATTTTAAATTAAAATTGTATTAAACTGACTTTAAAAATCAAGATGAATCTTGTTTAACTCAAAAGATGAGGTTGAAATGGGTTCAGTTAATTTGATGAGTTAAAGTAATGGAAAAACATGCTGCCATGAATTATTTATCATACCATTTTTAACAGTGAATATTTTTATATTATACTTACATCATGTACTTTCAAAACTCCAAGTTAAACCATCTTCTTTTTGAGCACTTTTTCTTATTTTTGTTACATGAAATGTCAACCTTTTAACCATGATTTTATTATATCATTTTATGAAGTACTTTACTGTTTTCTGTAAATTTAACTGATTTAAAAAAATCAGTAAAGCCTAAAATGCTATCATATATATATATATATATATATATATATATATTTTTTTTTTTTTTACGTT